GGTTGAGTATCAGAGTGTTCCATCTCATTTCCTTTTGGGGTTGCTGTAGGTGATCTGGAAATCTGATTCTGAGACTTGTTTACACATCTTCTCATTTTGATGGGGAGTGGGGGTGCTGTTGGTGCCCATGCGGCTCACCTCCTCTGGGCTGGGAGCAGTGGAGTGGCAGCCCAGAAGCCCCTTCCTCTGGGCTGGGAGTGGTGGAACCTAAAATTTTTATCACTACATGTTTTCTGTACATCATGTTTGGATTCCTTGTGTGGAGTTGGTGCATATACATAACACACCTTAATTCCCTTTTTTCATCCCCTTTTCCTTTGCCTCCCTCCCCCTTTCTCTCTTGATTTCCTTCCCCCATGAGAAAGATCTGTCTTTCAACTTTTTATTATCTAACTTTTATTTTGCTCTGTATTTATACTGTGAGTTTCTCATATAAGAGAAACCATGTGATATTTAAGCTTGTGTTTTGGGTTTTTTTCACTAAACATTATGATCTCCAGGTGCATCCACTTTCCTACAAATGACTCAAAACTCTCTTTCTGTCTGTCTGTCTGTCTGTCTTTTGAGTCAGAGTCTCACTATGTAATTCAGGTTGGCCCTGAACTCATTATGTAGCCCAGGCTAATCTCCAACTCATATTGATCCTCCTGACTCAGCCTCCTGAGTGCTGAGATTACAGGTGTGCGCCATCACACCCAGCAAGTTTATCTTTCTTTATGGCAAAGTAGTACTCCATTGTGTATAAATACCACATTTTCTTTATCTATTCATCTGTTGATGGAAGTGCAGCCTGCTTCCATGATTTAGCTATTAGGAATTATGCTGCTATAAAATGTATCATTGTAATATGACCTCTCTATTTCAAGAAGAGATATAGCTGAATCAAATGGAATTTCTAGCTTTAGTTTTTTGAGAACTCTCCATGCTGATTTCCTTAGTGGTTGTACTAGTTTACATTCCCACCAACAATGTACAAGGTTCTTTTTTCCCTGCAGCCTTGCCAGCATTTGTTATTATTCAATTTATTGAATATGGAGATTCTGGCATAAGATGAAATTTCTGTGCTTTTCTCAAATGTCCAGTGAGGTTAAGCATTTCTTGATGTATTTATTGCCTATTTGTACTTCTTCTATCATGAAGTGTCTATTCACTCTTCCATTATATTGTGGTGTTTTTGACCAAGGTCTCACTATCTATTCCAGGCTGGCCTCCAACTCTCAGAGATCCTCCTGCCTCTGCCTCCTGAATACTAGTGTTATAGGTGAGCACCACCACGCCTGGCTGCCATCTTGGGATCTGAGATGATATGATTAGGCAGCAGATGAGCCTCCCTGTCCTGCTCTCTGTCCCTGGTCTGGCATCTCATCAGATCTGTTCTTCCTGGTGACCTTTCCCATGCTTCTCTCTGTGCACCTTTTGCTTACTGCCTCTTTCCTGATAGCTGGGGGAAATTCCAGCTAGGATCCCATGGCCATTCCTGAATCAACACTGCAGCCCCAGGGATAAGGAGCTCTGGTTAGTCAGGCTGGGTCGTGTGTCTAGGCCAACAGCTGTGGAGTAGAGTCAGCCTCGTGGGACCCAAAGGGTCTGAGTGTGCACCAGGGAGATGCTCATGGGGACCTTGGGGAGGCAGCTGGGGGGATGGAGGTTGCTGGGCACAAGATATCTGTTGCTTCCCATTGCCTCCCACCCTGGCCACTTGCCAAGTGAACACACTTCCCCTGGTTGGGCCAATGTGAACTTAACTCATGGTGATCTCCCAGGGAACCTGCCCAGAGCACATGGCCACTGGCACCTACTTTCCTGGAAGAACTAATCTTCCATCCCCTGGGGAGGAAAGATAGGAAAGTGGACCATTCCTGGAGGGCCACTTGCCGATTTGGGCTTCTCAAGTATCTGGATGTAGAAGAAGACCATGCCCAGTGTAAGTCCCCCTTACCAGCTGTCAGTTCCCTACTCCAGTACCTCCTCACTTGTCCCTTTGAGGATCCTCCATTCCCAGCACAGGCTGGTCACTGGAGGGTGCAGTCCTTCTTATTCCTGATAACAGTGGCCAGACACCTTCAGAGGCACTAATGGACACAGATGAGGCCCTGTAGGGAGCTGTGCCAGTGATGACAGCACTGTGAGTCATTCCGCACAAGACTTCAGTTTTTGTCATTGTTCCCTGCCTCAGCTTCCCACCCCAAACCCAGAGCTGTGGCACAGGTGATAGAGGAGAGGACACTGAGGCTGGGCTTTGGAAGTCCCCTGTGACCCATGATCAGAGCCTAGAAGCCCTGCATTCTCAGAGTTGCATCTTGATTCCACTTTAGCAGAGCAGACTCAGTTTCTTTATCTGTAAAATGGGGAGAACAACTCCATACTGGCAGAGGCTGTACTGGGGCCTTCTGGTGACCAGTGCTGTCACAAAGTGTTCTGGCACTTAGTGGCTAAAACAGTGGCAACACTTGTTACTTAAAAATCTGCAACTTGGGCCAGGTTGAGTGGCAAGAACATAATTCTGCCCTGCCTGGGGTCAGAATCAGCCCCTGGAAGGCTGTGTCTGGTGTCACTGGGAACCTCCTCTCCACGGATCTAAGGCCTTGGCCGAGTTGTTGACCAGGACTTCTCCTTACAGTGGACCACCTTAAAGCATTGTGGGCATCTCCCAAGGGTGAACATCTCCAGGGAGAGCATCACATAGTGGGTACTACAAAACTCGCAAGTTCAAGTTCTCTGTGCTTTGTTCCTAGAGGTAGCCACGAAGTCACACCACTTTTAAGGGGAGGGGAAGAGACTGTGCCTTTCATGGGGCAGGTAAAAGTGCCAGAGGAGGGTGGGGCATGGGAGATATTGTTCTGGCTATTTTTGGAAAATAGAACTGACTACAGGAAGGAGAGTGAGAAAGAGCCACTTAGGGCTCCCTAGGTGGGAGCTGTTATTGTCATCTCTGCTGTTATTAGAAACACCCAGCATCTCTTTGGCCAAAATGTCCTTCAAGTCTTGAGACAGCTGAAGGTGCAGCAGGAAGGGAATTATTTCTGTTGGGGCTGCCAGTAAATCAGCTCAGAAACACACTTGGATTTGTTCACAGTCACTAGCGTATCAGTGCCCAGTCCACACCAGCCAGGCCTCACATGCAGCTGCCTGAGTTATCAGCAACACTGTCTCTCCCTGGTCTTTCCTCTCTGGCCTCAGTTTCCCCTCTAAAAAATGGGATTGTCCTGGCTGTGCTTTCTCAGAGGACAAGGGGACCAAGGTGAAAGACGGGCACACTCTGCCGTGCCCTGCCTGGGCCACTTTTCACATCCATTCCTTCTCAGAGCTGGGGAGCTCTGTAGCCTACAGCCTGAGTCTGCCACTCACTCTGGCCCTGAAGAATGAGCCTGCTGTGCTGGAGGGCAGGTCCATTGGAACTTGAAATCCCATAAAGGCCAGAGGAGCCTGTGACCCAGAGAACAAAGAGGCCTCTCTGTGTTTTGTTCATTTGTATTAAACAGGCACAGCATGTTCTTCACACAAAAGTCAGAAAGTACATATTGGCAAGGAGAAGAAGATAAATATTGCTTGTGCATTCGCCAACCAGAGGCAAAAGCACAGCTAATATTTTGGAGGGTTTTTCCCTCAATCATTTCCCCCTACATATAGATGCATATGTGGGGTTTTTCTTGCTGGGGGGCTTCTAGCAAAACTCACAAAGGAATATACACTATACTGTCTTTCCTTAGGGTTAGGATTAAGGCTACGGTTAGGATGAAGTTCTGTGGTTCACTGAAATTCTAAGTGCATGAGTTCATTCATTCATCTGGATGTGTTCCACATCCGGGTCATTTAAATCCACACTTGGCCTCTTTGCATTGGCTATTTCTTCTGCCTGGCTCATTGTCCCCTGGTGGCACACCTGCCTTCTCAGAGGTTGCACACCTGCCTTCTCAGAGGTCTCCCTGGGCACCCTGTAAAAATACACCTTTCCTTACTTCCCCATCTCACTCTGACCATCTGACAAGATCTTCTGCTTCTGCTCTTCTCCTTGTTGATGGTCTCCCTGCCTTAGTGTGTTCAGGTTGCTGTACCAAATGACCATAAACCAGTGGCTGATGAACAGCAGCAACTTATGCCTCACACCTCTAGGGCTGGGAGCCCAAGAGCAAGGTGTGTGTAGACTTGGTGTACAGTGAGGACCTACTCTCTGACAGAGATGAAGCCTTTTGCTTGTGTCCTCATGTGGTGGAAAGGGGCAGGGATTCTCCCAGGGCTCTTTCTTAAGGGGGCTTTTTGTACTCATCATGACTCACTATTATGACCTCAATCATAATCCAAAGTTGCTCATCACCCTAGGGACAGGAGCCAGTGCATGAATTTGATCACACATTCAGGCTGTAGGACTCCCCATGGGATCATGAACTCTGGAGCACAGTGCTGTGTCTGAGACCATTGGTCCACATCCCTGTTGTCTACGACATACCTGGGATACAATAAGTACCCAGTAAATGCTGATTAAATGGATGGATGAAATATTACTTTTTCTAACTCAAGCATTTCCAAAACACCTATTATGCACCAGGCTCTGTGGACACAGAAATTCTCAGACAGGGTCTTTGGCCTTGAGAACACTTGTTCTAAAGGAAAAAGTGAAATAAATTATCTCCAATGTCTATCAATGTTCACATGAGGGGACGTGAGCGAAGAGAAAGGCCATGACTGTGGGCTGATCTGGGGCAGGACATTTCACAAGCTACCCTGGCTCTCTCCAACTACAGTGCATGTTATGGATGAAGCATTGGGAACTCAGAGATGTGAAATAACTTGGTCAAAAGCAAACTCACCGCAGAACCAGGGTTGGAACCTGGGTGCCATGCTTCGCAATTTTGAGTGCAGTCTTCTTTTCCATAAGGCCTCTCTTGCAAAGCAGAGATCAAATCCAGCTTAATGGGCTCAAGAAAAGAAAACCCATGTATGTTATTGTTATTATTATTATTATTGTGGTGCTCTTATAACAGATACAGTGGAACCGTGACTTATGAACTCAATTAATTTGCAAGGGCTGGTTTGTAACTCAAGTTGGCTGATTGAAGGTTCATGCTCCACTACACAGCCTTTGAAGTCTCCTTCCTCACCATACTTTCTTCCAGGCAGATCTTATTGTTCTTGGAGAGACACTGGCCCAGAATTTCTCAATTAACCTCACACAGGAAAGGATGTTGTAATTTTCTTTCCACAACTCTTTACAGATTAAATCTGTATCTAAGACCATCTGGAAGCACAAGTGGCACTCAGGTCACAACTCATAAATTAATACTAAAATTCTGGTCATAACCCAAGTTGTTTGTATGTCAGGTTGATCGTAACTCGAGGGTCTAGTGGATAGCCAAAAGTGCAGCCCCCAGGTCTGGCTGGATTTATTGTCTCTCTAAACCTCAGCAGCAATGGACCCATTCTCAGATGGACACTGGAGTCCTAGGGGTGTCTGCAATGCCAGTCCTCCTATTTCTCTCCTCCTCCAAATGAACCAAGACCTGAGGGGAAAAGAATGTCTCACAATAGACCTTGCAGTTGCCTAATTCAGAGCTCATTTCCATTAGTCTCCTCCAAATACTAAGGCTGTGCAACCAAGTGTTTCTCTTCCAGAGTTTCCTACAGCCTGGTGGTCACAGGAGGAGCTCTGGTCAATGAGACATAAGGTGAAGTCAGGGGCAGGGGAGTTTGTGCTGTTCTGACCGTGCAGGCAGATGTGCCCAGTGCTGCCTAGCAGCCAAGCTCAACATTGGGTCCAGGCACTGTCTTGTAACCAAGAGGGAAAAGGCAAAAAAAAAAAAAAATCCATCAGGACATTAGCCCTGACAATGCTAAGTTGCTGGACCTCTGATTTCAGACTCTTTCCTAAGAGAAAAATAAACTCCTCTGTTCAGGCTATGCATTCAGTTCCCTATCCTTGTAGCTGATCACACTCCTGTGTACTGCGCCTCTGTCCCCAGTCCCACAGGTCCTAGGAAGGCACCTTATCAGCTGCAGTGGCCAATCTTTCTCATGCTAACCTCCCCTTGCTATTACTGTCCCTCTGTCCCCTCTTTTGGACATGGTCCTGCTCTGGAATGGACTGTGGAGGCCATAGTCACTGGACAGGGTCTGAAGAGGTTCCTAAAGCTGATATAAGGAAACCAGCCCACCTTTTTCAGGGAATAAATACAAAGTCAGTGTTTTCACTTACTTCTGTCATGGAAAAATAATTTTCAGGACTAGTCACTTAGAAGCATAGGAAGGGTTTTAGCAGGCAACTATTAAAATGTACTCACTGGAAGAAGTAGTGTGGGCTCTCAAGACAGGGAAACACTTAGTTCCTGGAACAGGGAACATTTCTGCTTCTCTTGAGGGGGTAGAAATCCTGGGAAAAGGTAGCCAGCCCATTCTCCAGAAGTGTAGTATCCCATTCTACAGGTATAGAAACAATTTTATTCTTTTATTTCAATATAATCCAAGTAGATATTAATAAAGAAAATATTTTTCAGCCCACTGCAGACAGGCAGGTCTGCGGACGCTGCACCAAGGTCGCGAGTCCAGCGGAACACGCCGAATCAGCAATCCACTGGACACTCCCTGCCGCCCTGCCCCGCTCCTCTGGCCTCTTCTCTGTACAGCCACCTGGTTCCACACTACAAAGACACAGAGGGCACCGGACCACCAGACCACTGTACTGGGTAAGTTGGAGCCATCTTCACCTCCCAACAGGACCAGGTCTATCTTCAGGGGAAGGGCAGCTGGAACCAGCAATACAACTCTGCCGAGTTCAACCCTACAGGAGGACAGGGAGCTCAACTTGGGACTTGCAGCCAGAAATCTGCCTGAATCTCACAGGTCTGTGACTAGCTTGCTGAGACTCATTG